GATATATGTATGTATGTACATAATATGTAGGCATATACTAAATGTGAGCAAACAACATTTTGCTTGCATAGTCTTCTGTTCTCTTTTCACTGCAAGTTGAATTATTTTCGTATCTATTGCAAAATTTTATACAGACAAGACTAAAAAGTATAAAATAAATTTAAAAAAAAACTTTTTAATGTATTACGCTTTTAAAAATGGACTAAAATTAGAAAATAATATTTCTCAATCCCATAGAACTTGTTTTGATAACTTTTGATTTTGAAATTTTAGCAAAAGTCATTTTAAACAATTTATGAGATTGAAAATGAAAGCGTGGGACGCATGTAATACACTTGAATTGACATGAAAAGTACCATATGTATGTATGTGGGCATATGAATAACGACCGCTTAAAATCGATCTCAAATTTGTACTTTCGCTGTAGAATGTTATGCAGTTTGACTATTGTCAATGAAATCGAATGCTTTGTACTGTATGCGCCCCACGTTTTTCGTTTTCAATTTCATTAATTGTTTATAATGACTTTTGCTAAAATTTCAAAATCAAAAGTTATCAAAACAAATTCTGTGAGACTGCGAAATATTATTTTCTACTTTTTAGTCCATTTATAAAAGCATGGTATATTAAAAAGTTTTTTAATTTTTAATTTTATTTATTTACCAATACACTCACACTTTGCAAATTGCCTATTCCCAATTTTTCTTTCAAGACAAGAAATAATTTCTCGTTAATTTCAACAGCTAATCGGCCATAGCTTTGGGAAGTGAGTTTTCGTTTGCAGAAAATTGTCTGCTTGATAAAATATAAAAAAAAATAGAAGAAAGAAATAGATAGAAAAAGCAAAGTGAAAAAGTGCTTTGAACGCGTAAACGCAAATTAAGCGAACAAATTTTAATGTTCAATTTGGTTGTATTTTCAAAACATTTTTGCGTACCAAAAGCTTCATCAAACCAACCGAGCTACCAACAGAGAATGAAGCTACCAATCTTGGTCCAAATGGACCAAAACGGCAACGCTGACTTGCAGTAGTGAACGCGCTGTGAAGAAGCTGTTAGATGAAAATAAACGTCAAAATTTAAAGCTTAAATAAGTGCATGGTATACATTTGTTTTATGTTTATTTTGTATTATTTGGAAATTTGTATACACTTCTATAAAAAAATACCTGATTTCGAACGAAATATATCTAGTATAACAAGAACATATAGAATTGTGCGGTTTTGAGAAAATTGACTTTGAAGTTTAAGGTCGAATTAATCCGAAAAAAAAATGTAGATTTTTGTAATTTTTGATGGAGACTTAGTAGGTGTTATTAGTTTTTCTGTTCCATAATCTTAAATTTGATATCTCTTAACATTAATGAGAAAATTGTCTTTTCATTCCGTATACATTTGTGGTAAGTAGCGTTTACTCACCACTTTGTTTTGTCCATAGAACATACGACAATACTAAAGTATCCTTTTTAACGACGATGGTATAATTTGATGAAAAAACCCAGATGTATTTAATAAATAATGATTACTTACTAGACAAAGCATAAAAAAACATATACAGTATATTTTGCTTTGCTGAATGCGCATCTGAGACATAATTTTTAACATTTATAAGGAAACTGCTCCGATAGATGCATTCAACATACCTGCACATTGGCAATACCTGCCTTAAAAATTGTGCAACTAGTATCAATTATCAAAGAAAGTATTACGTTTAACTGCACTGGCCCTGCAATTACCTAATTTTACAAACATTTATTTATTTTGCTCATATCGCAGAACAACGAAAATGGCTATCAATTTATGTAGTTATATAGGTAATAAGATACCATTCGAAAAAATTTCGCTTGCATTATTTTCTACGTAATAAGTGCTTCTCCATTATTTGGTTCCGTAGGGAATCGGATACCTTCCTTCTTGAAGTAGTAAAGAAAATTCGCTTAAGTGCCTTTTTCGGTTAGGTGCACAAGTTTTTCGTGCAAAAAAGGATGTGCAGCTAAGCAAAATATACTGTACATGTATTTAATAAAAAATTCTGTACATCTTTTATGCTGTATATACATATCGAGCCCTAACCGCCAAAATAACGTAAGCGAAATTTTTTTCAAAATTTTCTTTTTGATGCAGAAATGCGTCTAGATGCTCTACGAATACTTCAGCATCAAAAAGAAAATTTTTAAAAAAGTGTCGCTTACGTTATTTTGGCGGTTAGGGCTCTGTATGTTACGAATGCACGTTTCCTTTTTTTAAAAAACGAAAAACAATACTTAAATTCAGTCCTTTGTACATTTTCATTTCTTTCATTTCATTGGAGACTCAGTGCAAGCTAAGTTTAAAAAAAAAATTGTTACTTAGTTTAATTTCCAATTTTAATTGTGTCAGTATAGCAGTGGACCATTGAATTGTTGTAAGTTCAAAGTTTTGCAAAACATACGACAAATGTCTTATGATTAAAAAAATATAACATTTGTGTGGGAATTTGTCGTATGTGCCACATGCGACAAATGTTTTATGACTAAAAAAAGCACGTTTGTATGGGAATTTGTCATATGTGACGAATTTTCAGCACGTAAAAAAAGGCATACCCAATCATTAATATCATGTAACATATGATAAAATGCATACGAAATATCTCAAAAAGGATAAAAGAGATATACAAAAGTGGATTGCAGAAATCAAAAGAGCATGTCCAACTTAGTAAATCTGCATCAAAATCCCAAAATCGTGATTTTGCACACTCGACATCCGTTTTCTGAGGCGACGATTAGAGGTGGAGAAAACCTCGATGGCACTATCGATGCATCGATGTTTTTCATTTTTGTTAAACATCGATGGTTGAAGGCGACTATCGATGTAAAATGAGATAATATTATTTTCTAGTTTATAACTTTTCTAAATAAAGATCAAAATATTTTTTAATACTTTTAATAAAAAATCTATTATATCTTTTTTATAGTTTTATGTTAATCCCAGTGAATAAAAATTTTGCATTTTTACAAGCTATTATTAACTTCACTTACATTTTTCTATCAATTCTAAAAAACACTCCGATGAGCTAGAGACTTGAAACTTTAAACTTAAAGTATGTTTACATATAAATATTATCTCAACCAAAGGTGGTTTTTAATCATCCCATTTACATAGGCGTATCTCAGATTATTAGCCACCAAATTGGTTATGCTTGTTATTCTCACAACTTAAGGAAAAGTTAAGTCTCCTCTCTGTGGTCACTTTTTTGTTATGTTAAGCAATTTAAATATACTTTAACTTAATATTTTATTAAAAATACTTTTACAAACCTCTTTTCCTTGCTAGCGACCATTTTTGTTTTCTTTTATATTTGGCATTTCTCCTCTTCTTCGCAAAAATAATCGGTAAATCTAAGTTGGACACCGAAAAGTTATCGCTTTAATATGAGATTATTTTATAATTACAGATTAACGAGGGACGAATTTTGTATGGCTAAATTTTTTTTTCTAATTACTAAATCAGAATAACCACACTCAGAGATGTTACACGTTTAGTCAGCTGATCAATATACCCAACATACACTAAAATTTTGTGTGTCAGCTGTTTACTTGTAACTATATCAGCCCTGCTTTTACAATCACTTTAGCACGGTGCTGCCATATTTTTACTAACTTAAATAAAGAGCGTATTGAATAATTTAAATGAGAATTAAATAAAAAATTAAATTAAAGTAAATTTCCACTTAAATGAATTTGGAGAAACGCAGCCTTAGAGATGTTTGAAAAACCTATTTTATGGTCCGATATGGTTCACATTTGGAATGCAAACATATATATTACCTTCATGGAAAGAAATAGCTCCACAAAAGGTCCTTTTGATTTATTTTATTTTAAAAACCATATTGGGGCGTATTCATAGTAAACATTAAGTTCATACTTAAAGCTACTTGCGGCTTTTTGACATAATTTTTGATGGCTTATGTGTCAAAGACGCTACAACTAACTTTAAGTACCAACTTAATTTTGATTTTGAACGCCCTATTTTTTCACAACAGTCGGTGTTACATCGATGTTTTGCTTTAAAATTGCAATTTACAATTGCATTGTCATCGTGATCGGAACTATGCTCAAAATTTCAAGTATCTAGATTTTCGGGAAGTTAGTTTAAAATTGATTGGAAATATCCAAAGTTAACTAGAAGCTTCTAAAAAAGAAAAACTGTATAGGGTTGGTCAAATGAATGGCCGCCCTAGTCACTAGTTCCGAATCTATCTGATTTCAGAGTATGAGAACTTATGGTGGACAAAAGCGAATGTATAATGAACTCAGAATGGAGGAAATCAGCCTATGGCTACATAAGGTATTGAATAAATTAACCGAAAAAGACTTGCATGCCGCTTGCGCTTTTCTCTCAAAGTGTTTACCGCTTGTAAACACCGAGAGAGGTTAAACTTTAAACTTGGGCGACATAATTTGTTGTACATTTTGTATTTAAAATTTTCACCACACATATATTAAATTTTTTTTTTAATAATGCGAAAATGTGGAATAAAAACGCGCTTCAGATAATTTTTTTGTTCCAAATTTTTGCAATATACCAAAATATTAAAATATTGTTTTATATTAAAATTTTTAATTAGATTTTATATTCAAATTTTCTGATTTTCAAGCTTAGTTTCCAGCTCAACCAAATTGCCAGAAATATTTTTCTAGATTAAAAAATACTTTGCCATCGCTCTAAATTTTCTTTGGAAAATAATTACATAAATAAAAACTAAATATGTAGAAAATTTCTTTTTCATTTCTTGAGCGTGTTTTGTATGATTATTTTATTTTTCTTTAGAGCTGGAAAATATGCTTTAGGCTCAAAAGTGACACTTTATAAGAAGTGACGTAACCCCAAGTAAAAAATTTGCTTTTTGTCACTGTATAAGAAATGATCCTTATCCTTATTTTAAAATTGGGGTTATACCACTTGCAGTTATGTCATGGTCCCTTTTAAAATGGGTTTTTAAAAATAACATAAGTTCACTCACCTCCTTGGTCGTCCAACGCCACTAGGGTACGAATGCCAGCCTCTTTGCTCTGGTTACAATAATAAAGTTAAAAAGGCAATATATCAACGTAATATCCTAATATGTGAACAATAATAATATAAGTTTACTTTTAGGCTATATTTCAGAGACCCAGAATAATAATTATTTCATGGTGGAGTTTTAAAAAAGTCATCAAAATTTTCGTATAAGAATTATAAAAGTCTTTTGATAATAATTATGTGTGAGAAAATTTTTTTAAGTCACCGATAACTATTATTTTAAGACTTATACTTATTATATATTTTGAGACTTATATTATTCAAGTGTAGTCATAATAACTATCATTGAGATAAATATTTTTAAGTCTTCAAAGACTTTTATTTTGAGACTTATATTATAAAAGTCTTTTGATAATAATTATGAGTTCGACAAAATTCTGTACATAGTCCCGAACGGTTCCCAAACCAAGTCCCAAGATGTAGAGAATTTCATTCTCCACAACTTTGGTACCCACATTTTTGTTTCTTACAACGCTTAGATCACGGCCGGGAACGCGATAAACATAGCGATGTACGGGATGCGCCATAAACCTCATTTCCATATCTTTGGCATTTCAATATGCTATGTATTTTCAACAGAAATTGGCAAAAAATGGCGAAAACCGTGACAATGAAAAATTGTTTCGCAGTTTTTGCTAATTTTTAACAATAAGAAATGCTATTTTTAAAAACCTTCTATATAAAAAATGTGGGAAATTAAATTCTCTACATATCTGCATTTAACCATTTTTTACGAAATATGCAAAACAAGCCTGCAAATCGCAAAAAACAAAAAAATTTAAATCCAATATGGCGGAATGTTGCCAAATGCAAACTGCACCAAAAATTGCTGTTACAAATTTTTTTTAAGAAAAAGTCTAATTTTACTGGGCTACAAGACAAACACGCTCTAAGCGAAAAGTGAAAGATTTCGGGCAAAAATGGGGTACCTACGCAATCTTCCGTAGCAAGGGGGGACAAAAAGTCAAAATGGGGTATGTCCACGTGTTTCTTTTTAATATTCGTAGTATTTTTGCAGCTAAATTTTTTTGTTATTTTTATATAAAAATATCGTCTAAGCTTTAACCAAAACCGTGTAAATCACAGCTTCACACTTTATACAAAACCTAGGAAAATTAACAAATTTTCATCAAAATTTTAACTTTTTATACTGAATTTTTAGAAAATTTTTGGGTATTCAGTTTCATAGCCCATACAATTGTAGTCAAATGAAGTGCTAGTTTCAAACTGCTAAAAAATTGCGTTGATTTTTGAGATTTTTTTTGCAGGCTACTTTTTCGGGTTTTTAATATAACAAGCGCAATTTACAAAAACTTGTGTTGATATATTAAAATTTTATTACTGACTGTCTCCCGCGTTTTATTTCATAAGAAATTCATATCTACTTATATGAAAAAAATGCAAAAATCTACCTCCAAAAAAAAAAAATTCTCACAAATCAACGCGATTTTTTGGGTTGGGCCCAAACTCCTTATACTTCCAAATCTTTGCCTAAATATAAAAAAATAGTACCAGGAAATGCTCGCTCGATAATTTCGGCCCCCTTATCTTAAATTTTTTTTTCCTATAAATATACTATATAAATTATGCACTCAATGCTAAAAAAATAATTAGTAAATTGATTTAAAAAGTGGATATGTGGATCATCCAGTTCTGTATCAAGTTATTCTCTCTAACTTCAAAGCACTTCCATTTAAAAAGGGTAAAAACCTGCTGCAGTCGACAATGAGCGAAAATGGATTGAACGGTAAACTATAAACAAATTTATAGTTCAATTGTTTATTACCTTCTCTTTAGGTTTGTATCTTCTAAGCGTACATCGAAAGTTTTGTGTCACAGAACCAATCTGAGATTATTGATAAAACTATAGACCGGTTTGGTGAACAGCCAAGAAGTTTTACTTCTTAAGTAATTACAGCAGACGGCAGAAAACACATAGCGCACATAAATTTGTATAATAAAAATAGCATATTACAGGCTGCTGATATATCTATTTTAAATTATAGTTANAATCTGAGATTATTGATAAAACTATAGACCGGTTTGGTGAACAGCCAAGAAGTTTTACTTCTTAAGTAATTACAGCAGACGGCAGAAAACACATAGCGCACATAAATTTGTATAATAAAAATAGCATATTACAGGCTGCTGATATATCTATTTTAAATTATAGTTAAATCGTTAGTTAAACTTTACTACAGAAAAATTCCACAGAATTGGGAAAAACCTCTTCGAGCCGTTTGCTACCAAACGGGGGTTCAGACAGGGCGACTTCCTTTCACGTGACTTCTTTAATCTGATTGGAGAAGATAATAAGAGCTGCAGAACTGAACCGCTCAGGAACAACTTACTACAATTGCTGGCTTATGCCGATGACATCGACATCATAGGTAGAAAAAAAAACCGCGAAGTCTGTTCTGCCTTTTCCAAGATGGATAGCAAAGCAAATGGTCTGGTGATAAACGAGGACAAGGCGAAGTATCTCCTGCCATCAAACAAACAATCAGCGCATTCGCGCCTTGACACCCACGTCACAGTTCACAGTTATAAATTTGGAAAAGTAGAGAATTTAATTTACTTGCGAACCAACACTAACGGTGACAGGTAATAAGATCAACGGAAATAAGGTCCATTGACTTTATTGCCGCTTACGTTATTTTGGCGGTTAGGGCTCGATATTTAAAAAATTACTCATATGCAGTCTTATTTATACTATACTTCAATGCGAAAATGTCGGCTGAAAACGGAAACAGTTACAGTTTTTGAAATCGAATTGGAANAACGGTGACAGGTAATAAGATCAACGGAAATAAGGTCCATTGACTTTATTGCCGCTTACGTTATTTTGGCGGTTAGGGCTCGATATTTAAAAAATTACTCATATGCAGTCTTATTTATACTATACTTCAATGCGAAAATGTCGGCTGAAAACGGAAACAGTTACAGTTTTTGAAATCGAATTGGAATCCATCGTTCCAGACCGATTCAGTTGAATCTGGTTCAAGGACACCGTGTTATACGTACATCAGAAGTCACGTTTGTATTTATTAAATATAAAATAAATAAAATAAAAAATAACTTTTTAAGATACCACTCTTTTATAAATGGACTCNCGTTTGTATTTATTAAATATAAAATAAATAAAATAAAAAATAACTTTTTATGATACCACTCTTTTATAAATGGACTAAAAAGTAGAAAATAATATTTCACAGTCCCATAGAGTTTGTTAATATACTTTTGATTTTGAAATTTTAGCAGAGGTCATTATAAACAATTTATGACATTGAAAACGAAAAACGTGGAGCGCATGTGTAATGCGACCAAAGCATACATTGTTGAAAAAACAACACATTTTATGTACACAAAAAATAAATGTTTCTTTTATTAAACACTTAAAAATACTAAATCTAAATTTAATGTATAAAGCGAAAACCTAAAATAGCAGGTTTTCATACATTATTAAGGGAGCCGCTTGGCGGAAAGAAAAATCCGTGTATAAATATTCACAAAACACAAAAAAAAAGGTCTTGAATTTCGATATTCTTTTATCATTCCTATTATTATATTATTATTATAGAAACCTAAGGCATAGTGAATTCACTAAAAATTACAAGCGTTAATCACCTGAAATAACATACATATGTATATATGTATTAATTCTTTTGTAACCTACTGTAAATATACATATATATCTACGCTAAATTAAGCCTTTATTACTGCATTAATGCTTGTTTAAAAAGGAAATATGCTTACTTTAAACTCTAGTATTTACACGATAATTAGGAAATTAACTGTACATTTATATGTATTTAGTATTCAATTAAATTTTTAGAAAAACTAAGTTGTTCTGAACAAACGAATGTAAAAAGGAAGAAATATTCCGAACGCATTAAAAATTCGTTCCTTCAAAATAATTTAACTTGGATTTGCTAAGGGCAAGAAGAATGTGGCAAACTTGATCAATTTGCCAAAATGTTTCTCTTTCTAAAGGAGGGTGATGTAATGCGATCAAAGCATACATTGTTGCAACCCTACAAATTCCTAAAAATCACCTTATATGAATTCACCTTTAGCTAACTTTATTAACGATATTGAAGATGAAACCCTGTTGTATCTACGAAAGCAGCTAGCTTTAAGTCTTTCTGTGAAAATACAATTGGCGTCATTGATTGCGCGAAATTTAACTCGAAAATACATATAGTTTTCTTAAAAGCAGCGGTTCGTTTATTAATGGCGCATTAGCGCACGTTAGCGCGCCTGGAAGCGAGCGAAGGCTAGAACAGCAGCGGAGCACCCCGGCGTCCGAATACTAAGCGCGGAGCACCCGCCGGCATACACACACACCGGTAGCGACGGCAACGTGGGAGCGCCCCAGTTTCTCTGCACACGCCGGTACGCCGCGTGTTTTGAGCGAAGTGGAAGAACCCACTTCACATGGACACCGTACCTAAGTCCGACAAATTGGACATCGGCAATGTAAAATTGAAAAAGGGTAGAGCCCGCAAAAATTCGAAAACGTTTTAAAAAACGAAAATAAAAATAAAGTAAATTGAAAGAGCATATGGCCCAAAACTCGGACTGTTACAATACATTTTGGCTCACACTGATTTTTAAATACCGCTGAAACTCGCGAGAATACAATTTTCGGATAATTTTACTTCTTGCATCTGAAAGCATAAGTATGTGGTATTATTTAATATATACAAAAATATATTGTAACCAGTGCACGGACTTTACCACTTTATTAGTAGATCTACCAACTTTTTATCTGTTTTTTATTTTCTACCATTTCTACCAACAAAGGCTAAAAATCTACCAATATTTCCCGAAAGAAAGCAAAGAGATTTAAATGAACACCGTGTATACATATTTTATCATGGAACACACCTAAAATAAACATGAGGAGATAACTTTGACCATAACCAACTGTTTATAGAAATATTTTTCGTTTGCGATACGTTTTTTGTGGGAGACTGCCAAAGGAATGGTGT